AGGGCAGATGGCTTTTTTTTTGGGGGGTGGTGAGTCCTTCCTTGTCTTCTCCGGGGTATTGGTGAGGGGGGGCAGCACCCTGCCCCCTCCTGGGGTTGGTGCAGGGATGGGGGCAACCAAGTGTTGGGCATACCTGGCTGGAGCCTGGCTGGGTTTGGGGGGCAGCAGCCCCCTGTGTGCACCAACCATGGTGGGACATCCCACTGGGAAACCCACAGCTTGTGCCTGTCACCCCATCTGCATGTTCCCAGTGGGACATTGTGTCTCATTCTACCACCTCTGCTGGTGTCCCCATGTCTCATGGTGGTCCAGAGATGTTTGCTGCTGGTGTGGGTCCCTCCGGCCATGGTGGGACCCTCCCTGTCCCTCCTTGTATCCCCTGTCCTCTGAGACCCTCCTCCTACTGGGACCAAGCTGGGTCAGGGGCTGCCATGCTGTGCTGGGAGCTCTGAGGGACTCACCAGGCACTGGGTAAACTGGGAGGACTGGAGCAGAGCTCTACCCCAGGAGCCTGGCTCTGGGTCACAGGGCTGGACTGGGGCTGGGGGCAGCAAGGAAGGAGCTGGGACAGCATCTGCCACCACACTGGGCTGAGGAGTGGCAGGACATGTCCCGCTGTCCCCTCCTCAGGTCTGTAGGGGGATCTGGGACATGGCTCAGGGTCGTGTGTCCCAACAAGCCACCTAAAATGAAGCACCTTCTCCTGTGCTGCCGCTGCTTCGTGCCTCAGTTTCCCCCCGGGGACCAGGGAAGTGCAGAACCAGGGGGTGGTGGAGCAGCCAGGCAGGCTCCGGGCTGGCCTGTGCAGCAGTCTCAGTTCCTCTTCCCCTGGGGACACCGTGCCAGGGTGGCAAGAGCCACCAGGGTGCAGGGACAGATTTGAAGCTCAAGGGGGTACAGGGCAAGAGGGCTGGGACATGGCACGGGGGGCAGAGGGTGCCCAAGAGGCTGCAGCCATCCTGATCCCTGCCCATCCTCCCCCAATGCCACTGTCCCCAGAACCTGGGATCCTGCCAGCCCCGAGGTTCCCCTTGGTGGCTGCAGCACCATCCTCTTCCCCCCCTCTCCTCCCCCACGCTGTGCTCCTGCC